CCTGTAATGTTGTAGGAGAAAGGAAATAATTTCTCATGGGATTGAGAAGTTCAAATAAAACTCAACCACTCTGTTAATTTTTGAAGCTAGATGTACATGACAGAGGAATCTGACTTGTGTCTTGCTGAAATAACGTGGGAGCTTGCCGAAGTTGTACAGTTAAAAGTTTTTTTTTTTTTTTCCTTTTCATGAAAGAAAGGCTTTTATTTTTGGCATCTGTTATGTATGGTGGGGCTGGATCAGATTCATAAAGTGGTTTTATTTGTTGTCAGTTTCTGCCTGCAGACGATCCTGGCAATTTGATATGAAGTTTTAGTATTTGTATATACATTAACATGCCCTTCTAAGTAATGCCGTTCGTATTTGTTATGCTGTGTGTTGAAGCATTCTCTGATCACTCTGGTACAGATTTAGAAAGCCTGGTATTGAAAAAAGTGATCTTGAGAGGAAGTTGTGGATTTTGTTAAACTCTTAAACTCTTGAGAGACCTCATCCAAGGAATTCTTCTAGTGCTTTCAAGTGAAAGTACAGACTGCTATTCACTGACACCTTAAAAGGTTTGGCTCAGGAAATAATGTCAACAGCTGCTCCTTTTACTGATTCTTTCCTAATATATATTGTTACTCTGAATCATAACCGATTACATTTCATTTTTGGGATTGCACAGATTCTGATTTCCTTGTTAACTCTTCCCTTTCCCTTAGTTGCAATGTAAACTGATTGAATGTGTGTGGAATGTAGAAAGATATTCTGTAGAATTCCAATTTGTCCAACCCTTTTAACTTAAAAAAAGCAAAAATGTATTCATTTTTCTAACGTCTTTCATAAGACCAAAATTACTGTTATACAAATGTTATGTACAAGGTCCCGTCATAGCCATGTGATTTCTATCATTTATGAGAATAAAAATAGTCAGTTAACGTAGTCATTCTTTTACTGCCTTTTAGTTAGTGTTGCCATAGAAATTCTGACAAATTTAAGCATAATTTAGGCACTGTGTCATAGCTGCCTGGTGATTAATCACCTCCAAATTGTTATGCCCACACTTTACAATCAATTGTGATAGAACAAACTATATTTATCAAATGATCTGGATACACTTCTGAAATATTAGGCTTAAACAAGTTTGTTTTGCAGTTGTCTGATCATGTAGGCTGAAAAATTGACATAGGTTTATTTTCCTCTCTTGAAAAAAAACTTGATTTTGAACTTTCAGCAATTAAAAGAGAGGGATCTGAACAGGTACTGACACTTACTATTTCTGTTTAGTCTCAGAGGAAACCGTAGAAAATTTGGTAGGGTGTTCCCCCAAATGTTTAGACACAAAATACTTAGTCCAGTGTATGAAAAGTTAACACAGAGCTATTAATAAAGTGATGTTGAAAGCTTAAATATTTCAAGGTGACCTAACTGCATGTTTTGAGATTTTTTTTCTGTTTAAAACCACTTTCTGAAAACAAGTGTTTGAGGATGGAAAAATGAAAAATTGGGTTGTGTGATCATCATTCTCTGAATGCACTATTCTGAGGGCAGGTTCCATAGGCTGTATAGCAAGTGAAATATGTCTGTACTCACGCTAAATCACTCTTTGTTTAAAAAAAAAAAAAAAAAAAAAAAAACTTTTGCATTTACTTAGAGATCACTGTTTGAAACTTCTATGTAATGTAAATGTTGCAAAATGTCACATCCAGTGGTCCAGCATTAATCTTTTTTAGTGTGATATTATTATGGTTTTACTTCTGACTTCTCTCTGCTGCTCATCTAAGACTTAGCATGTTGTATTCCATGAAAATTAGGTATTTATTGAGTACAAATGTAACTGAAGGAAAAATAAAATGTGGGTTTCGAACACGGTGCTATTGCACCTAATTTAAAAGTCACTTTGGCCTTCCTTTTCTCACTTATTAAACTGTAAAAAGGGTATACTGTTAATAATATTAAAATGTCTAATTCTAAAGTGCTGTGTCAGCACTAACTCGGGGGTAATTGTGCTAAGTGTGATATTTTACTATATAAATTAATAATTACCTTACCATTTATATAAGACAGCATTTAGACAAGATGTATTATAAAAATCATCATGGGACTGTTGAAAGCTTCTCTCTCTGGAAGCTTAGATACTATATATGTTTTCCAAGTATAAACGAATACTGGCTGTGGAGCTTTAATGTTTTAGCTGCACTTAAAATAAACATACTTGTTGGGACAGTGAATTTGAGAATTATGGAACGGTCAGCTTACCCACCAGTGAATTCAGGAGTATTTACTCTATTTTTGCAGATTAAGAAAAAATGTTGCAAAATAATTGAAAAAATATTCACTGTAAAACTGTGATACTGAAGGGGCTGCGTGTTTGCTCTGCAAATCTTAAATTGTAGACGCAAGCATACTAGTGCCAGTAAAGAATTATAACTGCATTAATTTATTTTCTTGAATATCTTCAACTAACAAAACTAAAAAAGATCTTGACAAATGAGGAAAAGGCAATTTTGTGGTGTTTTTTGTAGTTTGTTTGTTTGTTGTTGTTTTAGTTTTTTAGGATAGAGGAAAGAGGAGTAATGGTAAGTTGTGCTTAACTCTAGTAAATTAACATCAGATACCAAAAGTAAAAATATATTTAGTAAACAGTTTTAGCTGAACACTTTAAAATTACTCCATGTAAGGAATGTCTTATTGGATATTTAGCTGTAATTATGTTAAGCAGCATGAGAAGGATGTGCTGATTATGTTGCACACAATTTTTAGATAGTAAACACAGTTGTTTGTCGTTCATATGATATGGAAAAGTGTAAGTATTTTCAAATTTTGAATTTTGCAAAGTCACTGTAGCTATGCAAAACAGATTTGAAATTAGTAAAATGAGTAGAATATTTTTAACTAAAACTCCAAAAAACTTACATGTTTTGTAAGCCTAGGATACTTTTTCTGTACTATCTATGCTATTTTAAGATTCTGCATAAAGCCATGTATTGTGAGTAACAAGGTTTAATCTATAATTTCTGCAACTTTTTGAGATTAGGGAGAGGATAGAGGAATGCATATATAATTATTACATAAATGAATATTTCATTTCCAAAGCCTGATGTACCAGGTAAGAAAGATAATTCATTTTTCCATTAACAGAGAAGTTAGAGTTAAATATTAATGGCAAAGGGTTTTTCTGTCAATTTTTCGTGAAAATGAGACGAATGGTCCTTTTACAAATGTCAGCAGAGTTACTCTTTTGTAGTAGTTTCTAGTAATCACATCCTAAGTTACGAGACTGAGACAGATGAAAAACTTGGAAATATGCTAAAAGTGTCAGGTTAGGGGGTGAAAATGTCGAGCAAAATCCTTAGCCCTTCCAGACACACACTAGTGTGTTCTGTTTCATTATCAAGGATATTTTAGTCTGTTTTCTGATTGAATACGTTTTGAACCTAAACTGAGTATTGATATGTTTCTGGAGCTGAGGTTTAGAGAGTCTACATTTTGATATATCTTAAAAGGAACTTAAGAACTTTAAAAATTGTATTAAGAAAGGTACAAGACATTTCATCATTTCAGTTGAAAAATGTTGAAATATGGGATGTGTAAGTCTGACCCAAGGCCCTTTGAGTGAGTCAAAACTGTTTATTCTCGGTGAGATTTGGTCCTGGTCCAAATCTTGGTGAGATTTGGAGATGTTCATGGGATCTTCTGTTGTCAGAGAAAGTATTGTCGTATGAACTGAGTCTGTGATGGTCTCTGTGTTTTTGCAAAATGGCAGCAGAAGTTTTCTTTGACTATTTGGAATGTGTTTGTGGGTTCTGAAGTGCTTCAGGAAAAGTTCCGGTCATACTTCCTCACACTGAAGGGTTGTACGGTGGTGAGAACTACTCGGGTCTTAGAGTCCCTCACAAGAGTTTAGCACGTATGCCTGGCTGAAAAAACAGCAGCTAATAAACTAGTTTCCCATATTTTCCTGTTGCTTTCATTTCCTCAGGAAGCAACAGACTGGATTGAGAATGAGAAACCTGCACATCTCCGAAGCCCAGAGAGAAAGTAGTACAACTTTGATAAGAACTGCCATGCTAGCATAAACTACTGTATTTCCACAGAATGTTGTCTCTTGTACAAGGATGGTTCCAGATGCTTGTTTTCCAGACTAGAAGATATTTTGTGAGACTATGTGATCTCCTGCATAATGGAAATAAATATATATTTTTATAGAGCTTAATATATGACTTAAGGAAAAAAAAATGTGTTTTCATCTTGACATGAAGATTTGGAGTAACCTTAAGTCTTGATGGATTCTGTCACTTTCCTTAATAGGATACCCTTGCAGTGCATTACTATCCCCTAAGGTACCTGCTTATTTTATTTTATTTTATAATTTCAGCTTAAAGCTATTGGTTCCTGGCTTATTTTCTCATTAGTCTCGTAATCTTTCTTCCCTTGCAGAAATCTTTAGAGATCAAGCATATGCTAGTTTTCATTAGGTAAGGTAAATAAAATGCAATGTAGTCCCCTTGCAAGTTGGGTTCTATGTAACTGGACAGCTCTTAAAGCCATGGTTTGTCAGAAGAGAACCACATGCTATACGTTCTATGTACCTGTAATCACAGCCTTGTTCTGTTAAGGCTTTTTTTGTTAAGATTTTGGGAATTTTTTAAATTAAATAGAAACAAATAGAATAGAACAATATGGAAACAAAGGGAAGAAGCTGGAAAATGCAGGGATTGTAACAATTGTTTATGCAGTGGTGCTGGAATGGAAAACCCATTTAGTGCACATATCTTGCTGCCATCTGCCGTCACCTGTCTGCTTCAGCCCATCAGAAAGTGAAATTGCCAGTCTATTGTTCTGCAAACAAACGCTAAAAATTACAGGCATGATTTTACTTTGACTGTGAAAGTGGTTCAAGAAATAGTTCTAGAAGTGCTTCTAGAATAGATCTTGAAACAATTCTAGAATTGACCTCCGGGTTCTAGAAGCATTTCTA